CACCCTCCCACCTCATCCTCCTCATGGCTCTGAGCCAGGGCCACTGACACGGCTTGTGGCTGCTGGTGTTTAAATAGCTGGAGTTGACCTTTCCACACCCTCACCCCACACCAGGGATCCCAAGCACCTCCTTCACCTCTCGGGGCTCATGTTTTTAATCTCATGGGAGCCCTGGAGCAGCATTAAGACACTGGCACAGGTTGCCCAGAGAAGCTGGGGCTGCCCAATCCCTGGAAGTGTTCAAGGTCAGGTTGGACGGGTCTAACAGAAGGTGTCCCTGTCTATGGCAGAGGAGTGGAACTAGATAATCTTATAAGTCCCCTTCCAACCCAAACCTGTCTATGATTCTGTGATCTGTCCAAGCAGCCCCAGCAAGCTGAAAAAGGATCACGTTAAACCTGACAGCGAGAAATATAAAAGCCATGAAAACAACCTGGCAAGAGATGGAGCACCCCAGCTGGGATGTGGGGAGAAGGCAGGACTTGGGCACTGTCCCCCTTTTTGGCTCATCTCCACAGAGATGTCTGGGGAGAAGATACAAATCCCAAGTTAGAAACGGATGCATCCACTTGGATACAACATCCTGCCTGTCTGCTGCAGGGCCAAGGCTCAGCCCAGGAGTCTCCCCTTGCTCCAGCCATCCCCACCAACACCTCATCTGCTGCCTTTCCCAGCACTTTTTCCTTCCTCTGCACCTGTCTGTGGGGACAGGCACAGGTTGGGATGTGGGAAATCCACTTCCCATCAGCTGGCCCCGCTGGCTCTGGGTGTCACGTCCTGGGTGGAAGCCAACACCCCACTGCAGCCCTACACTGTTTCTTGCTGACCTCGTCCAGCAGCTGCCAGTGTGTCAAGGGGTCTGGACAGCAGAGGACGGGTGTAGCCAAGAAGGAAAGCAGAATGCCTGGACTCCGTGTGTGCCCCAAGTGGCACACGTCCCCTGGGTGCAGCTGGGGCCATGGCTGCACCTTGGCTCCTGCAAACTTCCCTGCAAGAAGAAGCAACAACAATTTTGAGTTGCAGTATCTCCTGCTGGTATTTCTGTAAGTCAATCACAGCTGAAGGGTGGCCAAGCAGCCTTCTCTGTGCCCCGTGGTGGGGCAGATAGGAAATGTGGGTGAAATTTTGTATGAGAAGAAATGCCCAGGGGACATTCCTCTGCAAAGCCTCAAAGACATTCCGGAGAAAAGCTCAGTTCTTGGCCACTGCCAAAATTCTTGCTGTTGCCCCACACCATCCTCCAAGCCCCTGTAACAAAGAAGGTACATTGGTTTGTGGCAGAGCTGTGCAACCTTCCTCTGACTGCCAGTGCCAGTGCCTGGGAGCTGCCTCCTCCTGCAGCCCAGGTCCCTCCTCTGCCCCTGAGTGCTGCCACAGGGAGGGATGGAAAAGTCATTCAGCATCCCTCTGAGCTGCTTCCCTCCTTGCATGGCTGACCGCCTCCAGCACCGCAGGCTTCCAACCTGACCAAGGAGAAACCGGACCAAAACAAGCACTGTGGAGGCAGAGGGAAAGCAGCCAGCCTTTATTTTTTTTTTTTTTTAAAGGGATATTGAAGACCAGAGCAGAGAGCCAGCACAGTGAAAAACAGCCACGTGGGGACTGTGAAAATCAGAGCTGAGGAGAGGAAGATGGGAAAGGTCTAATAAAGAGAGTCACAATATACAAAATAAACAAGCGCCCACCTCCACCAGGAAAGCGGTGGGAAGGGATTGCAGTGTAATCCCTGGCTGTTTGAGGCTGTCCAGGCAGACACAGTCTGGATCTGCAACTGGATCAAGATTAGACCAGGAAAGCTTAGATTTTTTGCCCTGTCAACCTGAAACAAAATGCTTTCCCCTTGCAGCATTTTTTTACTACATGGAGGAAATTAAGGGAGGTCAGTTGGCTGTAAGAGGATCCTCCAGCCTCAGGTAGCTCCTGACCACATCCACACACCATATGGAAAAGCATCTGCTCAGTCCTAGAAAAATTCCCCAAGTCACATCCATGCATTCAACAGCCTCAGACCAAAACCTGTGCTGAGCTCCCTGCCCACACTTGGCCCCATCCCAGCACAAGTCACTGCTGCCATTGAAGTTTCTGTTCTCCAACCTGTACAAAGTTGTCCCAGATCTATACAACAGTAGGTGGGGACAGAAGGAATGACAGAGGTTATCTATTGAAGGGAACAAAGTCATTAATTACCCAGATATGTTAAACTTGAGGGCTGTGTCCCCCCCACCAAGACACTGCTGGAGAAGCCCACTGTGACCTCTAAACTCAAAAAACACAATGCCAAGGAGCAACATCTCACAGGTAGTTACACCCAGCCCGAGTGATCTGAAGTAGCCACTTTCCAGTCAAATGAAATTTGTATTTCCTTATCATTTGCTGTAAATACAGCTGTGCTGTTTTCCTGACCATGTTATTTCTAGAATCCTTATCACACACTCTCAGATAGCCCAGCACAGTCACACACTTCACAATCTTCTTTTTCTCCTATTCCCAGCTTTTCCACACCATTTCCATTTACAATCCCATCTGTTCAGAAGCTCTTCTATGGCAATGGGTGACACTGCCCTGGACCTCCACATCTGCACTGAACAGGTCAGCAAATGAACTTGTCTTCCTTTTCCCCTTCTCTGCCATGCAGGGACCTGGCTCACAGACAGGGATGAACTCAAATGTCACTTCTGATAAACATTTATTTTGCTGAGGAGCATGATGTGTTTATAGGCAGTGAAGTGGGCCAGTGAGAAGCAAGAGGCATGCGCCAAGTCTTGCAACATCTTGACGCTTCTGAATACCTTGGTCTCCCGCAGAAGTCATCTTGTCTGCTCCTTGGGGCGTTTGAAACACCAGGGAAAAAATGCATAGAGGCAGAAGATTCCCAAGGTCTTGTGCTGGAAGAGAGACCACGCTGAAACGTGGTCAGGTGGCCTGCATTGCACCAGCCTGGAGACCGAAGGGAAATACCCTGGAGCAAAGGATCTAAGAGGAGACAACAGCTGGCTGAAGGTGCCTTTGTTTCTATACTGCTCCAAGCCAATCAAAACCCCACCTGCCACAACATCAGCTCTAGACCATGGTTTCATTTCCCTCAACAGATTAGCTGATGGGTGGAGGAGAATTTTATATACAGTTTCTGTATCCATAGAGTATTTGACAAAGACAAGCAAGTTTGACAGGTAAAAAGGAAGCCTCAATCCTTAGGAGACATTTATTATTATTGTCCTACTGAATCAAAGCTGTTATTCAGCAATACTGTGAGCTTAATGGAATGAATGGGCACCCAAGATTTATGAGAAATCCAGCACAGATTGCTGCCAAAGCTTCCCAAGGGATGTGGGTATCTGTAACCAAGTGTTATGATCTCAATGCTGAAATACCTGGGCGATTCATCTACACACAAATGGTGTAGGAGTGACATTCAGACGGCCTCAAAAAGGAACTAATATCTTTTTTATCTGCTCTACACTCAAGTTCAAAGTTTCCTTCTTCAAGCTGGCCCAGAAACACCAGGAGGACATTCACTCCTGTGGTTTTATAGCATTTATTTGTCAAGCCCAGGCAAGAATTTAAAAATGGTGGACGGCTGAGATTTGTGTTCCCATTGATGGGAAAATGTTGGTATTTAAAATGAGTTGAACTCAGTTTTGATCTGTTCTTTTGAGAAACAACACTTAGAAAACATTTCATTTGTACCATCTTTTAAATTTAAACCAAAATTTCTCCCTGTTGTTTCTTTCTGGGGCTAAAAATAAAGTCCAACAGTCCTGATCTGGACTACTCAAATCAGGCTTTTTCCAATGTTCTACAGTTCTGGATCCTGGATTTTAGTTCTTTTCCACCACAAACCTGCAGAGCTTTAACTCTTGCTTTTACAAGCTGCTGTGCTGCAAATTCATTGTAGTCTGGCAAGAGACTGTGTCTAAATACAAAGATTTTGAGATCTTACCTACAGCAAAGACAACCCCTTTGTAATTTTATCCACCCTTATCCCAACTGTTGGCCACATTTAAATACCCTTTGTTAAGCACACTGCCAGATACTGTCACACTGGACATGAAGGAGAGCCAAAGGGGAAACAACTGAAAATGGAAATGCTACTTTCACGTGCTCATCCAGACATAACTTGCCCTGCCACCTTCTTTGCAAAACGAGTTTCAGTCACCCAGATTGAACATACAGATTCAAATTCTCCCAGAACTTCAGCTTTGGATGTGATGGGTAGCTGGCACTTCTCTATATTTTTTTTCTAGTCAAATGCATCAAAAGACAATGAGGAAGGCTGAATGATTCATCCTGGTGGAATGAAATGCCATTCACAAAGGTTTTTTCCATAGCAATTTGTCACTTATTGTATTGAAACCACTTCAGAAGATGTGTCTCAAAGAGCCTTTTGATATTAACATGATTAAAACCATAATGCAATTAGGCAATCCCATAATATTTCTGTATGTTAGATGAGTTGGACCTCAAGTGACCACTTCATTCAAGCCCCTCATAAATGACTGCTTCTAGCAGAAGGCTGTTAATTCTGTGACATGCCTCGGATAGTTGTAGAACACCAAGGAATTCAAATCTCACCCTAGAGGCATTTTGGCTCACCAAAATTCCGCTTTGGTGTTGGATCTAGCCTACATGTCTCAAACCTTCCAAAATCAGGCAAGAAAGATGCCCTTCCCAAGAGCCTCTTTGCCCACTTCAAAACTGATATCTAAAATCAGTGGGAACATTGGCCCTCCAGATGTGTCCTCCTCTTATGGCTATGTGGACATCCACCTGGATGTCCGTCCCTTTTCCCATTGTTCCTGTCACATGTACGCACCTATTGTCACATGTACCAGACTTGTTGCCCACGTCTCCATATCAATTTCCTGTATTTGAACAAACTGTTATGCAAGTACACGTAACTTTGCATTCACACAGGAGACTGCATTAAAACACCCTTCAATGAGATGTAGACAGAAAAGGTTTTGTCACTTTCCGCAGTGCCAGCTGTCCCAGATCCCTACCTGCCGGGCAGTTGCATCGCTGGTATGTGTCTCGAACTTCTCGATGTCTTGGCAAGTGGAACTTTAATTTCTGCCAAGAGAGGAAAAACAGAAAAAGGATTAATTTATACCATTGAAACCAAAGCCTCAAATTCTTGAAAAAGTGGAACTGGGAGGGGACGTTGCCCAAGTAGAGATGGGAGAGACAGGGCAGAACAGTTTGGGAACGAAGAAAGGCAATGAAGTTCATAGCCCTTAACTAGAAATGCAGGGTTTGATTGAAAGCAGGCTGAGGGAGTTTCGTAATGGCCTCCAAATGTGGTCCTCCTGACAGGCATTACAAAACCAAGAGCCGGCAGTGGCAAATAAATTGGTGACTGTGTCCTCGTGACAAAGCCGCATTTCTCAGAAGACCCACTCAGTGGGCAGAAAATGAAGATCTGAAGCAGGTCCTCTTCTATTCTGCAGCACATTCCTGATGTTCTTGGAGACACCTGGATGGACAGAAGGGTCCCACTGCAAGATTGTGGCTGAAGATGAACTGAAAACAGCAACAGCATCCCCTGAAATCTTCAGATGCTGTGCAACTTAATTTTTCCCTCAAGGGCAAAACAAAAGAAAGCCTATCAAGAGCTTCCATAAGATGGAATTTTGTCAGAATGTTCATTTCACATATGAGTTTGGATTTCTAATGGCGCCAGCGTGTGAGTCTCCTGCTCTCTGGGCCCATCTGTGTATCTCTTGAAGGGCAAATAAAGTCCACCTGAGGTCACTGCATCTTCCCTTACTGGGAACATCAACAAAATTAACCCATGTCCTGAGAAAAAATGTGTTTCAGGGGTAGCATCCTCACCACCCCTCCCAGACTTTACAAAATAACCGTAATTTAGTGAAGAAAATGCAAATTAATCCAAATAGGTTATTCATTAATGCCTGCGAACCACACTTGGTTAATGATTTGAGACCACTGAGCTGCTGGGGTTCCTAAGCTCTGGAGTCACTCTCTTCCCTCCTAACCTCCAAGCCCAACTTCCCATCCCAGTTGAGCCTTCCTATTTTTTGAACTACTTCACAAGTGGACCAGTATTTCAAAAGAAATAGCCTTATATAGGACACAACAGCAGCCCATACCCAAAACAGTATAAAAATTGCTTTATTTTCACAAGTAATTGAGCATCTTCCTGCAAGAAGGCATCAGTTTGGGGAAAAATTCTTTTAGAGAGGATAAAAGTAAATCAGCTTGTTTCCGCCTGGGATGAAGGAAGGCAGAATTGGCTGGAACATTTCCACTTTTTCACTTTGAAAGGATTGGCTTCCTCACTGCAAGTCAAAAGAGTAACAGTTGTTGTGGCTGACTAGAAATTAAATATTTTCAGAGCTTTATTTTGCATGGTAGATGGAAATGTTTTGATAGCAAGTTGATTTGATAGCAGGGTGAGGAGAGGATTTTAGGCAAGGAAAATTGCCAGTTCCCACAGAGCATTTCATCGGTTTTTACCTTCTCAGTGAAAAGCACAGATATTCTGTGAATTTCTGCATTTGGGCACGTTCCCATCCTGCTGCCACCCCAGATGGCACAGCTCTGCTCTGCAGCACTGCCTGGCTTCTAACTGCTAGTGGTCAAACATGGTCAAACAAGTAGGACAGCAGAGCCTTTATTTGGATACTCACACTGGTATGTGGACACACATAGCCCCATTCCCATCTACACATGTGCCAACCAAAACGTCTCCAACACCAGACTGCCACATTTGGGTGGTGCTCCCATGTTTGGAATCAGGATCAGACAAGGAAGGGATGGTGGCTTGAAATGGCAGGAGCAGAAAGCCATTCCCTAGCCAACAAGGGTCCAAACACCCTGCATGCAACAGGGGCCTTTACAGGACACAAATCTGCAAGGAAACATGGAAAAGATCCCTGCCTCACCAAGTGCAGAGGCACTGGAGGGGCTATAAGGGGGAATGGCCGAGTTAGGCTGTGCTGCAAGAAGCCTTGGCTGGGTTGCTGTGCAGGCTTACAAAGAGAGGAGCAGCATAACTGGACAGGGAAGTGATGACCCAGCAGGACTTCAGCATGACTGGGAACGGAACAGGGCTGATAACATTTCCCTGAGGCTTTATCTGCAGGGTCAAGGTAGGGGAAAAACCTGAAACTACTGAAATAGCCTTCTCAAGGACGGGGGCCCCTGGGGAGGGAGGTGTGGGTGCTGCTGGGCAGGCTGCAGCACAGCCCTGCGCACCACGAGCATGCAGCCATGGCACACTTACCAGCAGCTGGACATCCTCCCCCATCCCTCATGTCTCCCTCAAGCCCAAGAGCTCTGCACATCCCTGGGGAGTACAAAGGGCAGTGGTGCCAAGGGACTGCTCCCCTTTAGTGGGAGGCAAAACCTACCAAGGATGTAGGAACACCTGGTGTTCATTCTCCTGCACAGTCTATTAAACAAACACTGCCACAGAAAAAATCCTTGGCTCTTGGAGACCTCAGTTCAACTTTGGGTGGAGATGGCAAAACAAAACAAACTGTCCAGCCTTTTCTGCTTCCCTCGTTTCCACTGTGCAAAATATTGCCTGGTTCAACACAAGAAGCTAGTTTTGTTCAGGAGAGCAAACCAAGTGTACTTCCCTCTAAAAATGTAATTTCCAAGAGAAAACTTTCATTCCCAGGCAATAGAAAAGCATTCAATTTTAGGGCAAGGTTGGCTTCTGTAAGCAAAATTTAAAAAGAAGATTGGCTCTGGGAATCTAGTCTTTGGAATCTCCTTCCTGGGATCTGGGGGATCTGGGGGATTTTTTTTCACCTGCAGGACACCTGGAGCTTGTAACATCAAGAGCAGCAACATGCTGCCTTCCAGAAAGGTTGAAAACACTTCCTATGGAGGGGATTGCTTTGTCAGCAGAGCCTGCTCTCGTCTGTCACGTTATCCAGTGACATAACAGCTGCATCTTCCCCCTGCACCATGGCAAGTGGCTGAAAAAAGCCTTTGCCAGCGCCGGAGCCACAGCTGATCGCCCCTGCCTGCACCTCTGAGGATTTCAGGAGCCATGGCACATTGCTGAGAGGGAGGAAAAGGAAAATCCCGTCTGCAAGAGGGCAAGGCCAGGAGGGCCATGCTGAAACACCTAACGGGAACGGGCAGTAAAGTCAGCACGGGCTTTTCCCATGGGTTTTGTTAACGCACCGCAAGTGTGACAGGACAGGGCTGACATGGGTGGACTGAGCAGCGACAGCAAGGCCACTCCTGACATTAAAGGATCGTGGCTGTGGTGTCCTAAACCTTGCGAGTGCCTGTCTGTTTTGGATGGGCACTTGAGATTAGGCGAGAGGGAGGGCACCTCTTCAAAGGGGCAGATTAATAGCTCTTTAGCATTCCCAGTTGTTTGCAGTCACCCGGGGAGGTGAAATCATTTCCCACCACTATCTCCAACAGCTAAGAGAAACACATTTTAAATAGATAATCTATTACAACCATCAGGAGGATTTCAGGGGTGGGTGGTTTTGTTAACTCTTATTGTTTTACCACCAATTTCCCCGTTTTTTCTTAAAGGCCCAGCTCCTGGGATCATGGGACCATGTGGCACAAAGCAGAAGAGAGCAGTGAGTCCTCCCAGGTGGAGCAAAAAGCTTGCAAATAACACCACCTAGTTACAGGGATTGCAAGCAGCTGAAAGGAAATGCAACTTAGCTACCACAGAAGTTGAAAGAAAAAAATAGATCCCCTGATTGTGGGACAAAAAATACTAAGCTAAAGATGTAGGCAGGGGATGCTTAGAGCAAGTTTGCAGACCCTAGGAAACAAAGCAGTGTGCTTTGAGATACAGAATAAAATGAGGGGGAGGAGATCCTTCAAGTCAGGAGGGAAAGAGTTTTCTGGTGTCCCTCCTTTGCTTGCATAAGTAAGGAAAGAGTTCCAGGGAAATGAGACTATTGGGAAAGCAGTGAGGATCAGTGCTCCCTCCCCAATCAGGCACATTCCTGAATCCCTTAAGAGTCACTGAAACCACAACAAACACCTTCAACACAAGCCCCTGAGAAGGCTAAGGGGCAGCTGATCTTCCCCCAGGGTGCACAAGATTACCTGCTGCTTCATCACACATACACATTTCTATCTCTACAAATTCTGGGATTTCTTTTTCCTAGCAACAGCACTGATTCCATCCCATTCTCCACCCTGATGAGTTTTTGGCAAGTGAAGTAGCACCAAGTGTTACCCAGCATGAGAAAGGACCTTGTTTTCTTCTTTGGAAAGCTTTGCCTCTCTTGCAAATGCCAGTAGTGAGTTTACTTGTGCTCCTTTGTATGATTTTATGATGTCTCATAAATGCAGAGGAATTCGAATTCCTACATGGAGTTAAAGTTCTCCCTGTACTACCTGCTTCTGGCCCATTCTGCACAGATGTTTTTACAAGAAAACCTAGTCAATTTGAGTCTGGTAGAAAATTCCCTTGTGGTATTCGCCCACACCAGGCAGAGGTTTACACAGTAGCAAATGAAGCACTGGTCAGGCTGCTTCTGGGAAAGCATCTGCCGCCCTCTCCTCGCTCCTCCTGAGCTGAGATGGAAACTCTGCCACAGCCAACCACCGGTGCTCGAAAACCAGGCTGCAAGATGGAGAAAACATCCCCACCAGCTGCCTTAAAATTAACATCTTAAGCAAACCACCCCAGCTCCTCTCCCTGCCACTTTGCTTTATTTTTGCGTGTCTAGAAGAAAGGCCTCTAAAAGGACTTTGGCAATTTGCCCTTCTCAGTGCCATCTGTATGGTGTCCCTTGCAGACCCTTGGCAACACCTGGGCACACTCATGGCCCAGTCTGGAGGGCATTACACACTCCAGCTCAGAGCAGTACACGCTTTGAGCACAACCTCAGAGCTCCTCTATCAGCCCTCACATCCCTCCAGCTCACCTTCACAGCCACCAGAGCTAGAAATGTGCTCCTGTGCTGTGCCTTCCCTCCCACCTGTGATCAGCTTTTTCTAAAGCTGGGGTTCCTTTAAAGCTTTGCTGTTTTATTTTGTGATGGATAACACTCAGCTGGCAGCTGTGAAACCCATTAAGGTTGAAACACCAGGAAACGGTGAGGGTCTGAGCAGGGGGAGATGAATATCCCACTTTCACGTCCATCACAGCAAACCCATCTGCAGCCCCTCTCTCCTACTCATGGTCAGCACAACTTATTTTGCTTTCCTAACTTTTTTTTTCTCCCATCCTTTCCCTGTTCCCTTTATCTACCTTGTTTTTCTCCATCCTTGCCCCTCACCAGTCAGTCCTGGGCCCCGCTTCAGACATAATGAAAAGGAGGACCGGAAGGATTTTTCTTTCCTAATCAAAAGCCTCATATGGCATCCCACCATCTGTCCACCAGCAACCCCGTGCCCTGGACCTCGAGCTGCTTGGTCCATGCCAGTGCCTCTGGCTGAGTGTGGAGGTCTGAGGTTTAGATGCTTAGCAGAAGTGAGCAGCACAGTTGGCAAGGGTGTCCTCCCTGGGGGACAGAGCCCTCCTCCCCCACGGGCACCAGACTTTCACAGGTATAAAGGGACAGGAGATGTGGGCCAGGTGTCCTTCCTCCTCCACAGTCTCCAGCACTTTTCTCAAAGCTCTTTTTGAAGCTGTGGCCCAGGATGGAGCTGCTAACCCTGGTGGTACTCAGGGGCAAGCGCTGGCCCTCAAGCAGTCGTTCCTGTCCTACAGCTGCTCCCTGCACTGGCTGCAGCTGGGACTGTGGCCACCCCCATGAGCACAGGAGGGGCTGCTCAGGAAACAGGGGTGCTGCTGGGCACACGGGCATCATGAGACCCCCGTTTCCTCGCTAAGCCGAGCTATAAAAAGGTGTAAAGGTGTCGCTGCCAGCAGAGCCAGCAGGACACAGGGCCATCCGGCCCCAGGCACCATTCCCGGGAGGCACTTCTCAAATCTCGGCAGAGATAAACTTCGACTTCCCAGCAGACTCATGCCAGCAGCAACAGAGGGAATGCTGCACTATCCCTACCTGGTGGCAGGGAAGGAGTCCCTGCATGAGCGTGCAACCACAGCGCACAGATCCAATCACTTGCCATGTTTCTGCCTCCCCAAACCCTTTTTAAAGTAGGATATTGCCCCATGGACCCTGTATTTCCCTTATTCCTCATCCAAAGAGGCAACTCAAAACCATATCCTTCAGCTCCTGTGGTGTTTGCTAACTCAAGGTCCACAGCTTTTGGCTGCACAGCCCAGCAGATCCAGGGACTGCTCTCACAAGACCCATAAACAGAAGCGGAGCCTGTCAGCTGTAGGTTTAAACTCCTCACCATGGACTTTCACTGCTCCTAGAAAGCAGGAGGGGGTCCAGGTCACCCCAGGTCCCAGGCAGCAATGCCCAAGGCAGGTCCCAATAGTCAGCACTCTGGTCATCCCATTCCTCACCTCATCTGGCAATAGCAGCCCAAAAGAGATTTTTTTTCAGATACAAACAGTTTTTGGGCTAGCCCCAGGGATCTCTCCAGCATGACTCAAGCCAAAGCTAGAGTAAACAGAGAGAAGGAAAGGTGGGTGGAAATGGCTCCAGCCCTGAATTTCACCCCCAAGCCTCTCCGAGAGCTGTGGGAACAGGTCAGTAGGGACCTGTCTGGAGAGTTCAGAGACATGAGCCACCATCTGCTCCCTGACACATGTCAACACCACTTCAAAGCCCAACAAGGCAAGGAATACTCATCGCAGCCAGAGTAGAGGAACAGACAGCCCCCAGCAGCATCAACACAGCAAAGTAAAAGGTGTCAGCAACAATAATCTGCTCTTTTGAGCCCTCTTTATTGACCTGCTGAAGCCAGTAGCAGCATTCCCCCATCACCAGAGGAGAGCCCACAGGGTCCAGTGGAGTTTGGATGGGACTCAAGTGAGAATAACACAGACATATGCTCTGCATTGATACCCTGGCAGTACCAGAAACCATCCTGGCAACACCACTGTGTCTCATTTTCCTGAGCCAGGAGCTGTGGAAGGGGTCAGGGCTGGTACAGCAGCAGTACCAGCCCATCACAACATTGGTGTGCTTGCAATTACCTCTTCCCATAGCCATGCTGGCTGTGACATGCCTCGCCTGCCCCCTTTCCAGGGCTCAAACCCAGGCTGAATCCCCAGGTTTAACCTCTAATTCTAACTCTTTCAGCATGCCATACTCCTGAAGAGAAGGGTTGGAGGTTTTTGCCTCCCCAGCAGGATCAGGGTTGAGGTTTTCCTCTTTGCAAAGTGCAGGCTCCAGCTACAGCATGGGCTGAGAAGAGAGACGTAAATGCCAAGCAAGTTTGAGAGGTGGGAGGGACCTGAAGGAACAGGGAATTCAACCTAGCAGCAGCATCACTCGTGCAGAGATACATTTTTAAGGAAGGGGGAAAAAAATGGATAACGTGACTGTGCAAGCATGCATATGCCTAAAACCTATAATACTGCAAACTATACATGCAAAACGAAAGAACACTGACCTCATTGAGCAGTTGGTCAACTCTTCCCAAAATAGCTGTCTCCATTTGGTCTGCTGAGAGCCAGGCAGGGAGCTGTGTGGGTCTGTCCGCTTCCAAGTGGGACACCCGGGACTGCAGATCAGAGGTCCGAAAGTACAGCAGGAGGCTCAGCACCAGAGAGAGCAGGGACACGCCGGGCAGCCCCGAGCCCAGCAGGAGAGGGAGGCGGCAGCATCTCTCCCCATCGCCGGTCCTGGGGGGAGCCACACACCCCCTGTCAAAAGCTGCTTCGTCGACGCCTTTCCAGCTCTTCTCCTCCAACATTCCCTCCCTGTCCTGAGAAACAATAAATAAATAAATAGAATAAATAAAGCTTCGCTCCTACTCCAAGACGCACAATCCAGAAGGCATAGAAAAAGAACGTCGAAGGGAATCCCAGTGCCAGCAAATCACAAGTGACAGCAATAATGACAAAAGTGGATGGGAGGGGGGGGGTGTCTTTAAAAAATAAAAACAAACCACACACACATAAAAGGGGTGCAGAAAAAAGGGATCCAACTGCAGCAAAGAGTGCGAGGGGGAAAAAAATAATCTGATCAAGATTTTTTTTTTTTTTTCCTCCTGTATTTCAGTCTTTCGGTTCTCTGGTAGGTTTTTCTTTCTAAGCTGTCAGTTTCAGTTCCTTCGCAGAATGGCCAGGAGCTCGCACATGAAAGTCCCCATTAGAGAGAGGTAATTCTCAGCTGCTCCGGCGACGTTGTGCTCTGGCTGATCGTGGCTCCCCTGTAACATGACACACTCCCTCCGAACTACGGGGCTGGGATGAGCGAGCTGCGCGGCTTCCCAAAGTAACCTCCTCTGCTCGCCCTCTCTCTCCACCTCTCCCTTGCTGCATGATTTATTTATTTATGCAAAGCGCCGGGGTGGGATCGGGCAGTGGGACGCCCCTGTCCCGCTCGGTCCCCAAACCACCTATCCGCCGCCAGCCCTTCCCTTTGAAGTGACTCTCGCCGAGGTTATTTATAGTGGCAGGAAAGAGATTGTAAAGCAGAGGCTGGGCTCACACCAGCCCGCGTCTTCCTTTCCTCCAGGCAGCCGAGAGCACTTTATGGCACGGTACAAACGGGCGGTCGCGTCCCCCACGCAGATCCTGGGGCAGCCCTGAGGCACCGGCAGTGGGTATTTGGACCCCGATATTCTGAGGAGAGCAGCCAGGCAGGGTGAGAAGCAGAGGAAACATCTGGAAACAAGAGCTGGCAGCTGAGGGCTCTGCAAGAAACAAGCGAAGGGCAGCAGGGAGAAACACCCCAGGCAGGCAGGCTGCACTGCAAGAGTGGAACATTTGGGGCCTGATTTGGGGGTACAACCTGCCAAGGGTGTTCAGAGGAACTAATCTGCTGAGGCCCTCTAGTGAAGCAGAACTTCCCATCATCTCCGTGTCCCACCAGGCACAGGGCACCAGACAGACAGACAATCCCCCTTTGGCAGGGAGCAGTCTCCCCAAAACGTGCCGTAGGGCAGCTCCCAGCCATGCGTCTGGGAAACAAAGCCTCCTTCTGTTCTTCAGGAGCAAGGGAGGGCCACCTCTCCCAGTTTTTCTGAGCATAACATACAATATTTTATCCTCCAGGGTGACATGCAGGCTCTGCTGAGCCCCTGCCTGTCTGTCTGTCCATTCTTTCATCCTCTCCTTGAGCACGCTCAGCAGTGAAGCAGCACAGAGCTCACCGTGGTGTACAGTCATTAAAAGCCAGGCAGCAAATTGGTCTCTTAAAATCTGGCTCCCTTGTGGCTCTTTCGCTGTCATTTACACGTTTTAAATGAAGATTTTGCGTGCAGTCTGTGCTGGAAATTAACTGGCAGAGAAAACTCATATTCATCTCTGGCCTGGTCTCTGTTTCAGGGGGCTGGAAGAGACAGACCTTCTGGGAGCAGGTTAACGCAAGCGCGAGCTGTTTCTCCTCCATCAGACAAACCCTCGGAGGGCCCGGTAGCACACAGCCCCAATTCTTTGGATGGCCTCATGCCTTTCACAGCCACTCACTTCCCAAAATGGGGTTTTAGCGTCTGCGAGGCAGGAAATCCTTTCTTTATTTCTTTTAGTGGGTTTCTTGTCATCTCACTGCTCAAATTTGCCTCGCTGTTCCGGCACGCAGGGAAAATACCCCTCTGATGGCTGCAGCCTTTCAACAGTTTTTCATATGAGCGGGGCAGAGATGTGTAACCCACAGAGCCGGCACACAAAGGGTGTCTATTCCTTCAGGAGGTGTAGCCACCCCGGTCTCCTACCCCCTGTGTTTGCAGCCTACTTTACAAAAGGAAAAGAAGTCTTTGAGGCCCTGGCTCCATGGGAGTTACCCAAGATACCACCTGCAATCACAGCAAATAAGTAGACAGAGAGAAATGAAAGGGAGATGCCTAGAGGCTGATGATACAGTGTTTGAGAAGCAGAGGTCTTCTCGGGAAAATAAATACCAGTTAGCAACTGGTACTGAGTGTCCTAGAGAGTGCTGCAGTACACTACCTCAAGACTGGGGTTGAACTACTGATGACTGCAGCTGCCTGCCTGTGTTATACAAAGTTTCACCTAAGGCTGTCTTTCTCCCACCCAGCCCTCTCTTTATAACAACCTAAGCACTGAAATCACAAAAACACACCCTCTAAGACAAAAATGGAAATCTGCTGGGTGTCTACATCTCTTTTCCCCCCACTGGCTGGGGAGATCTCTCTGCTCTCTTGCACTGGTTTTTGATACAGATCCTGCAGTCCAGACACGAGCATCGCCTGAATGACTCTGTAAGTGCCTTTTCCTGCCTCCCCGCCAGCCCCTCTCCAGCTGATCAGCTCATTTAGAGGGTATGTCATAGCTGCTGCAGGCTGGGGAGCTGCACTCAGACGTGTTTCACGCAGAAGCCTCAGCTGCAGATGTGCAGGAGGGTAATTTTTCTACCCATGAGATATTACGGAGCCCTGTCATCCCATGCCAATAGAGATGGACTAATTTAGCCACAAACCTGAGCCAACTGTGCATGTTGAGTCCGCAGCACTGCTCAACAAAAAACTGCCTCCAGAGACAGGCCTGGCACGTGGAATCATCTCAGCACTCCTTGAGTTGAGCACAGCCCCGACTTCAGCTCTCCCAATGGCCTGAGAGGAGGTGAGCGCTGGCCTGAAACCAGTCCTCCTGCAAGTTTGTGACTCTCAAAGTTTGGTGAGTAGAAACAAATCCTGACTTGCAATCAGGAGTGATTTCACTGACTAGTGACTCTCAGAAAGCCCTAGACACGCTGAGCTTGAGGCTGTATCCCTCTTTCCTCAGGGAGGTTGATGATATTCCTCACAAGGACAGTAACCATACACTTCCATCGCTTCTAACAGGCCTCCCAGGGTGTTTAAGGACCTCAGCACAAACACATAAAGAAGTGGAGCAAACAGAACTCATATATAACCTCCCAAAGCAGCCAAAACTCCTCTGTACAGTGCAAAAGTTTCACATCTAGCCCACGGCACTAGGTCAATCGATCAGTTACAAGCAGGTGTGGCAAGACTCCAGCTTGGTCAGTCTTGAGCTGGCACAGGCACTTTGTCTTTCTCAGGGACATCTGCACATGGACAAAGCACCCCACAGAGGTTGCCCAGCACTGCTCTTCAACAAAGGCACAGTGCTCACAATATGTGGGGATTCCTCACATGGCACAACGTGCTCTCATTGCAATAGACCATAAACCCTCTTTGACCCAAGGCAGGTACTGTGGACATGAACCACTCCATGCCACAGGCCAGAAATGGATAGAGCTGGGCATGGATGAGGTTCTTGCGTCTAAGAGCACAGCTCAAGCCAGCCAGGTATCTACAACAGGTAAAGGGATAGGTAACAGCAGCAGGCTTTCCTCATCTTCCTTCACTTACAAGAAAACCTTCCATTAAAAAATAACATGTCCTTCCTGTCACTAACTGGAAGTTGAAGCCAGCTGCCTGGAGATGCCATGTGCTCAATCCTGCCACTAATCTTCCCCTTTTCAGACCGTTTACTAGGGAGAAAAACCCCACCCCAGTTCTCTTTCTGTTCTTCTGCTTTCCCCCTCCCCCCCCCGCAGGAAACACGGGGGTCTTGGTGTGCTCGAACCAGCCATTAACTAGCAGCCAACATCTCCAGCTATTGTAAATATATTAACTCAAGGCCTTTCGCTGCATTTATTAGACTCAAGAACAACATCTGGAAACAGATGTTTTCTGAGCAGAGAAGAGAGGAGGAAGGAGGGTAACAAAACAAGGGGGTGGGAAGGACTCTTGCAAGTGGAAGTACACGGTCTGCAGACCATCCCTTTGCAAAATGCTGCTCAGATGGAGCACTGCAAGGGGCTGAGGCAAGCACAGCCACATCCCTCCAAGGCAATGCAGTGAGAGTGGAGCGTCTTAGGGAGGCTGCCTGACAGAAACAGCAATGGGGGAATAGAAAAACTCACATCAGCTTTCAGGGCCCGTGTGAGGAAAGGTCAGAATGCTCTCACACGAATGGGACACTGGGGCAGAGAGATTTTTAGGGGGTTTTTCCTTTCCTGGTCATGGACCTTCCCAGTCCTCATCTGCTGTATAACCCAGAGGCTGGCAGGCTTGTAGTGGGACATCACCTCCATGACAGTTTGGCAGCATCTGCCACTGGGCCCATAGTGCAGGCAAGGTCTAGGGCTCCCACAGTATCCTGTCTGTCCCAAGCAGCCTGTTCACAAAAGGCAAGCAGAGTGGAAAACTCCCATGCCAGGGAATCTGAAGGACCAAGGGGTCCTGCTCTGATAGGGAGTCTTGATGTCATGGCTCAAATTTAGACAATATTTAGAAAATTACACAGTGTTAACTAGGGACAAAAATCAAGCATGCAGGTGCATACTTAAAAATGTATCTCATGGCAGTATTGTGAAACTCCACTCTCAACTAGATACACTTTGGCTTAGGTACCAGAGATGCCTATGGTACAATAGAGGTCTGAGATCAAAGCTTCCCTGCATTTCTTTTGTGGGAAATGCAGTTTTACACATACACATACCCTCGCTTTTTATTAAAATAAAACTAAAGCCAACCAACAACTCCAAAAAACTAAAACAGAAAAAAAACCCAAAACCCCATAACAAGTATTTTGTCATCTTTAACCTCAGGTTCACAATGGGTATCTCTCTGAGATGCAGTTACACATACTTTGCAAGTAAGGTCAGGAATATTGAGTATTACCTACCTAATTTGGTATTTGTTTGTAGGAAGTATTAAGTGGCCTATGGAGCAGAACAATTCCCGCCCGAGGAGCTGCTCTAACCCATTGTGGAGTTATAGAATAAAGACACATTTGATCCTTTGGGAAAAGGGTTATGAAAATACATGGAAAAAAATATACTGTCCATGCATAGTAATATCATGGCTGTTTTCAATCACTTGGTCTTCTACAAAACAAAAGGGCTCACTGCACAATATGAACTCCTAGCACTGGTAGCAGCAGAGGAAGTAAGGAAGAAGCGAAGTTAGTAGTATCTGGTTAGGTTTTTATATTTTCATAACCCTAGAATGCCTGAGCTCGTTGTTGCCTCCCTCCCAACAAAGCCCAACTGGCTTCGTGCAGCTGCAGCGCTGGGAACCTGTCCCCAGAGCTGTGTGGGAACAGCCAAGCAGAGCTGAGCCGCGTCCAGGGTGGGAGCCCGGCCACCAGCAGCTCCCGCAGAGGTTGTGTCAGAGCTTCCAAGAGAGGACAGAGCAAACACAGGTTTTGCACAGTTTGGGGCCACCCCATCTCTAGCACACCCCGCAGAGGGAAGGCTTTGCTGGAGGAAAGCAGGAGACAGCAAGTGGTGGACACACAGCTAAACTGCCC